TAACCTATGACATTGCAAATAAAGTAAGAAGTCTCCGAAGCCTTATCATTAAACCCCGCTCTGCAAGAACGACCAATAATCCGATAAACATCTGCTCCAGCCTCAAGGATCTCATATTAATACTCACTGCTTGTAGTATTTAATTTTTAAATAAGTGTTAAGCCAGTAAGGATCATACACTGCCTAGACAACAGAATGTGACCTTATCTGATAAAAGTGAATTATTACTTTATTAACAGGAAAGCACTGAATCCACGATGATCATACAGTACATCACCTGAGGAATGAAAGACAATCAGGTTTGATTCAAGAAAGGAAAGAGCAAACCCAACCCCTCAGATCAAGAGCCCTTCAAGAGCAAGGCACCCCCTTGAAGGGCTGCTATTACCATAACATTCATGAGGAAGCGCTAAACTCGTATACGTCATACAGCACCAGATTTACTCCAAGGAAAGGGTAGCTCCAATTCCCGAGAATAGCTCGTTGGTATTATTGTAATCAAGGGGAAGCACTAAACCCATAGGGGTAATGAAGTGCTGCAGCATGGGAGGCAATCATGTAAAGTAAAAGGACACAAGTGCAATCATGTTTAATCCAAGGAGAGAATCGGTTCATTTCCTAGTATCACGAGCCCTTCACTGGTATATATATATAAAGGCACCATGTTTGAAGAGTTTTACTGCTATTTTTATATCTAGTAACTGAAAGCTCTAATTATAATCAAAACTAAGCACCAAAAGGGAAAGCTCTAAACCCACATGGATTATATAATAATGAAGAATGGAAGGCATTCAGGTTCAGGCAAAGGAAGGAGAGGATAAATGAAGGTCCTTCCTTGGTTTAGCCCCTCACTGGCATCAAGGTATCTCACTTGACTCTTTCTTATTAGTCTTTGTTCAGCCAAGGCTCTTTTTTTTTTTTTGACACAGCCATCAAGAAGGCCCACTGATAGAAATGTATTAAATGAAAACAACCCTGTTCTGGTGCTCATATCTTTTAGGAAGTAAAGCCATCACTCTCCATACCTTACAAGATAAGGTTCACAATAAGTGCAAACTAGTGTACACATTGTGGATAGTACCACCAGCAGTTATACAGAGGTTTACTCTCAGCTGTGGGTGCAATACTTTGTATTACAAGAGCTGCACTAGTGGTAGCATCAGAATTATAACAGTGGCATTTGCATTGACAGCGACATATGCAACAGCAGCAGTGGCAGAGTGCAAATTCCACTTATCACAGTTCAAATTAAGCCTCAGGCTATACGCCACAGGAAATTTTGGTAAATGGACTTGCTTAAATCCTTAAAACAGAAATAAAAGTAGAGGAGAGCCCTACTTTACAGTGCTTCACTTTACAGTGTTTCGCTAATGCAATAGCTTTCGGTTGTACCCATTCTTCATTTTTTGAGACTTCCTATAATATATTCACCACTCACTATAAGCTAAGGACGAAAATATTTCAAGGTAAGCAATGTGTGTACTGTATAAGCATCTTTTAGGCCTAGCTCTGTTGCTCACTTAATATATGAAAGTGTAAACGTGTTATCAGGTTTTTATTTTTTATTTTTATTATCACACTGGCCGATTCCCACCAAGGCAGGGTGGCCCGAAAAAGAAAAACTTTCACCATCATTCACTCCATCACTGTCTTGCCAGTAGGGTGCTTTACACTACAGTTTTTAAACTGCAACATTAACACCCCTCCTTCAGAGTGCAGGCACTGTACTTCCCATCTCCAGGACTCAAGTCTGGCCTGCCAGTTTCCCTGAATCCCTTCATAAATGTTACTTTGCTCACACTCCAACAGCACATCAAGTATTAAAAACCATTTGTCTCCATTCACTCCTATCAAACACGCTCACGCATGCCTGCTGGAAGTAAAAGCCCCTTGCACACAAAACCTCCTTTACCCCCTCCCTCCAACCTTTCCTAGGCCGACCCCTACCCCGCCTTCCTTCCACTACAGACAGATACACTCTTGAAGTCACTCTGTTTCACTCCATTCTCTCTACATGTCCGAACCACCTCAACAACCCTTCCTCAGCCCTCTGGGCAACAGTTTTGGTAATCCCGCAACTCCTCCTAACTTCCAAACTACGAATTCTCTGCATTATATTCACACCACATATTGCCCTCAGACATGACATCTCATTGCCTCCAGCCTTCTCCTCGCTGCAACATTCATCACCCATGCTTCACACCCATATAAGAGCGTTGGTAAAACTATACTCTCATACATTCCCCTCTTTGCCTCCAAGGACAAAGTTCTTAGTCTCCACAGACTCCTAAGTGCACCACTCACCCTTTTCCCCTCATTAATTCTATGATTCACCTCATCTTTCATAGACCCATCCGCTGACACGTCCACTCCCAAATATCTGAATACATTCACCTCCTCCATACTCTCTCCCTCCAATCTGATATCCAATCTTTCATCACCTAATCTTTTTATCCTCATAACCTTACTCTTTCCTGTATTCACTTTTAATTTTCTTCTTTTGCACACCCTACTAAATTCATCCACCAATCTCTGCAACTTCTCTTCAGAATCTCCCAAGAGCACAGTGTCATCAGCAAAGAGCAACTGTGACAACTCCCACTTTGTGTGTCATTCTTTATCTTTTAATTCCACGCCTCTTGCCAAGACCCTCGCATTTACTTCTCTTACAACCCCATCTATAAATATATATAACAACCACGGTGACATCACACATCCTTGTCTAAGGCCTACTTTTACTGAGAAATAATTTCCCTCTTTCCTACATACTCTAACTTGAGCCTCACTATCCTCGTAAAAACTCTTCACTGCTTTTAGTAACCTACCTCCTACACCATACACCTGCAACATCTGCCACATTGCCCCCCTATCCACCCTGTCATACGCCTTTTCCAAATCCATAAATGCCACAAAGACCTCTTTAGCCTTATCTAAATACTGTTCACTTATATGTTTCACTGTAAACACCTGGTCCACACACCCCCTACCTTTCCTAAAGCCTCCTTGTTCATCTGATATCCTATTCTCCGTCTTACTCTTAATTCTTTCAATAATAACTCTACCATACACTTTACCAGGTATACTCAACAGACTTATCCCCCTATCATTTTTGTACTCACTTTTGTCCCCTTTGCCTTTATACAAAGGAACTATGCATGCTCTCTGCCAATCCCTAGGTACCTTACCCTCTTCCATACATTTATTAAATAATTGCACCAACCACTCCAAAACTATATCCCCGCCTGCTTTTAACATTTCTATCTTTATCCCATCAATCCCGGCTGCCTTACACCCTTTCATTTTACCTACTGCCTCACGAACTTCCCCCACACTCACAACTGGCTCTTCCTCACTCCTACAAGATGTTATTCCTCCTTGCCTTATACACAAAATCACAGCTTCCTTATCTTCATCAACATTTAACAATTCCTCAAAATATTCCCTCCATCTTCCCAATACCTCTAACTCTCCATTTAATAACTCTCCTCTCCTATTTTTAACTGACAAATCCATTTGTTCTCTAGGCTTCCTTAACTTGTTAATCTCACTCCAAAACTTTTTCTTATTTTCAACAAAATTTGTTGATAACATCTCACCCACTCTCTCATTTGCTCTCTTTTTACATTGCTTCACCACTCTCTTAACCTCTCTCTTTTTCTCCATATACTCTTCCCTCCTTTCATCACTTCTACTTTGTAAAAACTTCTCATATGCTAACTTTTTCTCCCTTACTACTCTCTTTACATCATCATTCCACCAATCGCTCCTCTTCCCTCCCGCACCCACTTTCCTGTAACCACAAACTTCTGATGAACACTCTAACACTACATTTTTAAACCTACCCCATACCTCTTCGACCCCATTGCCTATGCTCTCATTAGCCCATCTATCCTCCAATAGCTGTTTATATCTTACCCTAACTGCCTCCTCTTTTAGTTTATAAACCTTCACCTCTCTCTTCCCTGATGCTTCTATTCTCCTTGTATCCCATCTACCTTTTACTCTCAGTGTAGCTACAACTAGAAAGTGAACTGATATATCTGTGGCCCCTCTATAAACATGTACATCCTGAAGTCTACTCAAGTCTTTTATCTACCAATACATAATCCAACAAACTACTTTCATTTCACCCTACATCATATCTTGCATACTTATTTATCCTCTTTTTCTTAAAATATGTATTACCTATAACTAAACCCCTTTCTATACAAAGTTCAATCAAAGGGCTCCCATTATCATTTACACCTGGCACCCCAAACTTACCTACCACACCCTCTCTAAAAGTTTCTCCTACTTTAGCATTCAGGTCCCCTACCACAATTACTCTCTCACTTGGTTCAAAGGCTCCTATACATTCACTTAACATCTCCCAAAATCTCTCTCTCTCCTCTACATTCCTCTCTTCTCCAGGTGCATACACGCTTATTATGACCCACTTTTCGCATCCAACCTTTACTTTAATCCACATAATTCTTGAATTTACACATTCATATTCTCTTTTCTCCTTCCATAACTGATCCTTCAACATTACTGCTACCCCTTCCTTTGCTCTAACTCTCTCAGATACTCCAGATTTAATCCCATTTATTTCCCGCCACCGAAACTCCCCTACCCCCTTCAGCTTTGTTTCGCTTAGGGCCAGGACATCCAACTTCTTTTCATTCATAACATCAGCAATCATCTGTTTTTTGTCATCTGCACTACATCCACACACATTCAAGCATCCCAGTTTTATAAAGTTTTTTTTCTGAATTTGAAAGCGAAAAATAGCTAAGTTACACTTTACAGCAATTTTTGCTTTACAGCAGTAGCCCAGAACCTAACCTGCTATATATGTAGGGGCCCTCCTGTAAATTGACTGTATGTGCACTGAGATAAACACCTCTCAGTGTACAGTATATCCATTTCGAGAGAAAAATAGAACACCTTCATATTCACCATAACACTCATTAAGGAATTTGTAAGAACTCGATAGTCAGGTTGAAATTATTAATGCCAACTTATTATTTAGGTAATTAGTTTTATTAAGCTTGACATAAAAATATATATACATAATTTATGAAATGTAACTAAAATAAAGTGATCATACAAAGCAGCACTGCAATCCATAAACTACCTTGTTAATTTTTTTGACAGTTTAATGCTTAAAAACAGAGACGAGCATGGAACATTATTGGACAATATGTGCATCAAAAACTTTGGAGCACTTACAGTGATGTTAGATATTATTCAATGTGCACTGTACATTCTTCTTTCTTGGTGTAATATAGTAATGCTGTTTCACCATCATAATACTTTGGAAAATGTAATACTTTAGAAAATGTTTAATTTGAAAATAAAAATCTTGCAGAAAATCCACACTTGTTCAACCACCAAAATTTGCATCTAAGAAGTTTTGCAAATTTGTTGAAATTTAGGCACTACTTTTCTGCTAACAAATTTCTTAAGTTAGGTTTCTGTATTAAATATTCTCATACTGTATATGGTGCAGTTCTTCCACATACCTGCCTCAGAGAAAAAAAGCTATTTAATTCTCAACTTTCTGCACTGAGAGATTAATTCTCTCATGCAGAGATTTATATGTCAGATTTCAGCTAGTGCTTATAGTTATGTCACCTGAGATCCTACAACTGATTTCTTAATTTTTCCCATTCAATTTCTCATTCCTAAAATGTGAAACTTACTAGAACATTGAAGTGTTCAATACTCAACTATCCAATGTCATGAATGAGGAGAAAGGATAAATATCTAATTACTCACTAGCATTTGTGCTCCAGTCATATGAAATATAAGTCACTTTATATTTCTTGGAGTTGATTACCTTCCCTAGAGCTTCTTTCTTCTTGGGAACAGCTACATTACGAAATACCCACATGAGAACATCTTCAGTATTATCTCCAAAGTCAGAAGAATACCAGCGAAGTAGTGAGGATAGATGAACAATACTGTGTTCCTCATCTACCCAAAGAGCCTCATCTGTCTCAAGATAAGCTTGTGTAGCTACTTGTAACTCCTCATTGATATTCTGCAATAATAAACATATGAGAAATAATATTATATAATAATGTACATTACAAAAATGCCCACTACAGAACTCTGTGAGAAACTTATCATTCCTTACCTCGGCACTGAAAGTTTTGATGGGAGGACAACTTCTTGCTCCACAGTTCAGAGCAAAATGAATCCTCGGATCTACCTGTTATAAAAAAATTTGGATTCACAAAGACAATAATGAAGTGAAAATAAATTCCATGGTAAAATGATCCCTAGGCAAATTTGTTTCTAACTATTCTTATCCAATGGTTGACTCTTATTTTTCAAAGCATGGAAACCTATGCCTTTTTTTTTACCCATCTGCTTCCAGTGAGAGACGTGAGGAAAGTAGCACTAGATCACCAATATTAAGAAACTGGGAAAAATGAAATACTATACTGGCTGAAGAGTGTTAATTTGAGAATGTCTCATCCTATTAACTTTCAACATCAATAACCTGAGAATACAACTTCTGAGTGGTTTCAAACTTGAAGTGTTGATGTTTTATGGGATATTGGTTAGCATAACAACTAGAGACTGTATATTCTAACTGGTTTTAAACTTTCAAAGATCTTATCTGCATCTTACACTAATTAGTGGAAGGTTTAAATTAGTTTTGAGCTATGTAGGTGGCAATTTTAAATTTTAATGAAGAAATTGGGATACTGTAGGAGTTTCTGTGCATTAACTTCTGATTGTACTTAAATCTTCAATGCTGATACTTACCATCATTAAAAACTATGCCACACACTGCTATTCTGTTTGTATGCACTGAGGTAGAGAGGTCTGGGCTTATAGAATAAAATACCTTTCTTGGATCACTCAGTGACCAAAACACATCTAGGTTTTTAAACATATTCATATTCATTCATTTAACAGTTGCTGGTGTATTAAAAATAATAATTACTGTAGTCATAATTAACAGAGTTAATTTATCTCTGGAAAGACATTTTTGCCTGTTTCGGATACTGAATAAAAAAAATAAGGCTCAATGGTTTTGACTATTATCTTTGCTGTGAAACATGTAGAGTACTACCTGAATGAGGTAGATCACCCTTCGAGGATCTGATTTCCCAAAGGGAGGAAAAAGTTGGACAGGTCCACGTTTATTCGCACGCAGCACACCATTTTCAATGTCATTCAAGCTATAGCTGTGGCCACCAATAATATACGATGTCTTGTCAAAAAACTGAAAATATAATGTGTTCACATAAGAATAAGGCACACAACTTTGCAAACTTTTTATCTACAAACAGTAAATAATTTATGCAAAGCAGTAATGGCATTAATGTAAATACTTTTTATTGTGTATAATGGATGTATCTATAGATTTGAGTATTCCATCAAAATACTTATTTTCAGAACCCGTACTCCCACCTGCGCTTAATAGCTTGCATCTGTTAATGACGCAATTTTGCAAACCAAAATGTTCACTGATGTACAACTGCTGCATGTATAACAATGCTGTTATGTATGTGGCTTAGAAGGAGAGTGGCTTAAGAATAGCTATGCATAGAGACCCCAAAACACAAATACTTGTCTTACCCATCAGGAACTACATATAACTACACACTTGTTTAATACATCAGGAACTACATATTCACATTTGTTTTACACATCATTAGAGACTATATATTCCCCGTGTATAACATATTGTCAAGAACTGTATGCGCACACTCAAGTAATACATAAGAAACATAGAAAAGTGGTTAAGTCTGATTCCTGGGTGACATACTCATGCATACTGTTGTACCAAATAAACTGGTAGAATGCATGCGGGCCACATCCATGTTATGGCATACATGAGTGAAAAAGATATCAGTACGAGATTAGTATTATTGTAGGTAGTAGGTTGGTAGACAGCAACCACCCAGGGAGGTGCTACCATCCTGCCAAGTGAGTGTAAAACGAAAGCCTGTAAATGTTTTACATGATGGTAGGATTACTGGTGTCTTTTGTCTGTCTCATAAATATGCAAGATTTCAGGTACATCTTGCTACTTCTACTTACACTTAGGTCACACTACACATACATGTACGAGCATATATATACACACCCCACTGAGTTTTCTTCTATTTTCTTTCTAGTTCTTGTTCTTGTTCATTTCTTATCTCCATGTAGAAGTGGAACAGAATTCTTCCTCCATAAGCCATGTGTGTTGTAAGAGGCGACTAAAATGCCGGAAGCAAGGGGCTAATAACCCCTTCTCCTGTATAAATTACTAAATTTAAAAAGAGAAACTCTCGTTTTTCTTTTTGGGCCACCCTGCCTTGGTGGGATACAGCCGGTTTGTTGAAAGATTAGTATTATTATTACATTCATGGAAGGGCGTGCTAAACCTGTAGGGAGGAATAGAAGGTATTCAGGCTCAATTCAAGGAATTGCACCACAGGTCCATTTCCTTAGATCAAGAGCCCCCACCGGCATCAAGGAACATACCTTGAGGGGGAAGTGCAAGAAGAGCAATGCATTATTTGAAACCAATTCTTCAGTGCTGTGTGACCATTACATAATTTTTTCCATTCATACTGCTTATATATCACAGCAGTTTGAGTGGACATGAATACATTTAGGGTTTTATAAATACCTTTATCCTGGAAAGCCAGTTGGAGGGAGGTCCATTTTCTACTGTGGAGTGAATTACGAGTGCATTATACACATTGATGAAGAATGCTTTCCGTCCATCCTGGTCCAATTTCTCAACTGGGACCCGCTGCAATTCTTGTGACAGCTTGACATATTCTTTAAAGCCTTCACTGTCCTTCAGTTCTTTGTAGTTAATAACCTAATACATTGTGTGTCAGTACAAAGTACAGTACATATAAACATATTTAATCCAGAGGCAAGTGATAGATACATCAGCACTTGTGTAAATTCAAATGAGAATTACATAAAATGACAGTAATACCCAGATCTTCAGCAAAATATTGTATAACACAATTTTAATTAGAGATAAAAATGCTGAGAGCAGAAAATCAATTGTAAATAGAGTCAGAATCATTTACTTTGCTATCCTCAGAAATGTGATTAGTGGTGAGCTGAAGGAGGAGCTTACGAAGTGTCTCGGAAAGTTGGGCAGCATTGTCCAGTACATAGTTCTGTGTTGGGCCAGCATTCAGAGCTGTTGACTCACTGCTATCATTCAGGCTGTCACAAACAAGTCCATCAAGCATGAGCAATGAAATTTCAAAAGCAGCATTCAAAGGGAAACCAGTAAGCCCTCCATATAATGCACTAATAGTACTATGGTGGGGAAGTCAACGGGGACCAGGTGTACATTTCTTAATTGTTAGATAAAACTTGCTTACAAACATGGTTTAAATGATACCATGTGCAGCGCAAGCCTTTATTTATGCACGGTGTCTTGCTCTATGTAGTTATTAAGTCTGAGAAAGTGCTAAACCCAAAGGGAGTTATACATAAGCTCTAGAGTAGAACTATTAAGTCAATCAACTTTTCTATTTAGAAAAATAATGTCGAGTGTAGAGGCTTGTTCTGCACATGGTAACACTCTTTCCACGCATTTCTTAAAAGTATAATTGTCAACAATTAAGTAATTAGCACCACTCACCCTGCAAAACTAGACAATTATATTTTCCTTTTTTTTTTTATGAATAACATGTAACGTGTATCCATTTTTAACATCCTACTAATACTGCATAAAGACCCTTGGATAAAAAAAATAAAAATGACAAAATAAATACAGTAAGACCCCAGTATCAGCGGGTCTGGCATCTGTGGTTTCAGTTACCCACGGTTCACCCTGGCCCAAAAATAACCATAAATTTTGCTTAATAATGGCCTCAAGGTGCAAAAGTAGTGATGGTGGATGTTCTTCAAAGCCTAAGAGAAGCTGTGAAGTATTTCCCATTAGTGAAAGTGACAATTCTCCACTTATTGTGCGTAACTTATCAATTAAACTTTACAATAGTTTTTTTTTTTCAGCAAACTGGCCATATCCAACTGAGGCAGGGTGACTTAAAAAGAAAAACGAAAGTTTCTCTTTTTAAAATTGGTAATGTATACAGGAGAAAGGGTTACTAGCCCCTTACTCCTGGCAATTTAGTTGCCTCTTGTGACATACATGGCTTATGGAGGAAAACTTCTGCTCCACTTCCCCATGGAGATAATACGTATGTGTGGAAAATATTTTCCAAAAATTATATTGTATAATTTTTATAATATAAATGTACATAATTAATGCATTATGGTTGGTCTAAAATATATTTGAAAGTGAAAGAGAACCAACAGTAGTTCTGCTCATGCACTGGGCTCCGAGAGGGGAGGCCTGGACATGCATGGGAGTCTCGTGGAGTATCATTGGGTATAGGCCTAGGTGGGTGTCCTAGTTGACATGGGACCAGGAATTTGGCGGTTCCGATGGCCAAAAAGTGATTAGTGGTCTCACTTCATAATAGGAAGTGTTGTAACTGTTCCCGGTGTAGAATAGGGGAACGTAAGTTGTCGAAACTGCCATAATAGGGTGATAACGGAAAATAGTGAGCAACGCCGTGATGAGCGAGTTCATTGGGGAAAATACCCGACTATTCAATCCTCACTCATTGGGCTCAGATCTTAATGGATCGACTTAATGTGACATCCAGTCCCCTTGTGAATTGAGGAAGTAATGATAATGACTTTAGTTTAAGGGAATGGTTGAAGTGATATGAGCAACCATTCCCCGAGTGAGTGAGCACATGTTAAATGTGCGGCCCTGTTCCGTCTTGTCTCCTCAGTCGGACCAACCCAAGTGATATCATAATCCTGCTGGAAGAAGAACCGTATTGGCTTACCAGGACATCGGGATCGGAGGAGGAAATAAGACAGACAAGGAATGTGACCTCACCCACAGTTAAGTAACCTTTCTAGTTACAGCAGACTGATACTGTCCAGTTAGGTATGTTATAATGGGACAGGTGTTGTGGGTGCTACAACGATCTCCAGTGGCCACCAATAAAATTGGATAAGTGGTGGTCTCGTTATGTTCACATGTAACCCCTCCCCCACCCTTTCTAATTGGTCCAATTTATACATACAGTCCACAACTAATTAGTAGCGCTGTACTTGTAGGTGCTATCCACTTCTAAGTTATAGTACTGGCCCAGGATAGATGTGCCTAGTGCATGTGGCATCAGAGGGAGTAACTCAAAGCGGCCAGGAGTGACTCAAGTTTTTCCACACGCTTCTGCGGGGTAACTACTGTAAATAATATATGGCTGTCACCTCCCAAGGAGATTATCTTTATGAATGTAATGACGAGGTTCATACAGGTAACCATATAAAATTCCCACAGTATGTATGGGACTTACATGTAGGGTTCAGCACTATCTGGGGTTTCAGTATCTGCAGCACATCCATGGAATGCATCCCCATGGATACAGGGGTCCTACTGTATATTATAAAACTGAGTAAATTGTAAGAATTGTATACTCTAAGTTTGGCAGAGATGCTATGCATCCTATGGTTCTTCAAATTATGTATGTCCTGGGCAGTAATACTGAAATTTAGGCTAGTATTTGCATTTCTCCCAGGTAGTAAGTTGGTAGACAGCAGCTGCCCAGGGAGGTACTACTGTCCTGCCAAGTGAGTGTACAATGGAAGCCTGTAATTGTTTTACATGATGGTAGGATTGTTGGTGTCATTTTTCTGTCTCATAAACATGCAAGATTTCAGGAATGTCTTGCTACTTCTACTTATACTTAGGTCACACTACACATACATGTACAAGCATATATATACACACCCCTAAGGTTTTCTTCTATTTTCTTTCTAGTTCTTGTTCTTGTTTATTTCCTCTTATCTCCACGGGGAAGTGGAACAGAATTCTTCCTCCGTAAGCCATGCATGTTGTAAGAGGCGACTAAAATTCTGGGAGCAAGGGCCTAGTAACCCCTTCTCCTGTATGAATTACTAAATTCAAAAAGAGAAACTTGCATTTTTCTTTTTGGGCCACCCTGCCTTGGTGGGATACGGCCAGTGTGTTTAAAGAAATATATATATATATATATATATATATATATATATATATATATATCTAGGTAGTAGGTTGGTAGACAGCAACCGCCCAGGGAGGTACTACCGTCCTGCCAAGTGAGTGTAAAACGAAAGCCTGTAATTGTTTTACATGATGGTAGGATTGCTGGTGTCCTTTTTTCTGTCTCATGAACATGCAAGATTTCAGGTACGTCTTGTTACTTCTACTTACACTTAGGTCACACTACACATACATGTACAAGCACATATATACACACCCCTCTGGGTTTTCTTCTATTTTCTTTCTAGTTCTTATTCTTGTTTATTTCCTCTTATCTCCATGGGGAAGTGGAACAGAATTCTTCCTCCGTAAGCCATGCGTGTTGTAAGAGGCAACTAAAATGCCGGGAGCAAGGGGCTAGTAACCTCTTCTCCTGTATATATTACTAAATGTAAAAGGAGAAACTTTCGTTTTTCCTTTTGGGCCACCCCGCCTCGGTGGGATACGGCCGGTGTGTTGAAAGAAAGATTATTATTATTATATTATTATTATTATTATAATGTATTAGTATTATTATTATTATTATTATTATTATTATTATTATTTTCACTCATGGGAGAGGGGGTTAAACTCAAGGGGTCATAAAGGTCATAAGGAATAAGAGGGGAGAAAAAAAAAAGGTGATAGCTTCAATTCCTTAAATCAAGAACCCTTCACTGGCATCATGACACTCCCCTGAAGGATAATATCAAATAAATTTCAGGAGTATAATAAAAAGATAATTTACACGGTATAAGTCTGAACACTGAGCAAAGTAACATTTATGAAGGGGTTCAGGGAAACCGGCAGGCCGGACTTGAGTCCTGGAGATGGGAAGTACAGTGCCTGCACTCTGAAGGAGGGGTGTTAATGTTGCAGTTTAAAAACTGTAGTGTAAAGCACCCTTCTGGCAAGACAGTGATGGAGTGAATGATGGTGAAAGTTTTTCTTTTTCGGGCCACCCTGCCTTGGTGGGAATCGGCCAGTGTGATAATAATAAATAATAATAAGTCTGAACACCACAAATGATGTAGTTGAAGGTCTATCAATAAAGATTGAGTACCAAAACCTAGTCATCATGGTTGTATATAAGCCACCAGATGCAACCTCCCAACAGTTCAAGGAACAGCTACTGAAAATTGATTACTGTCTGGAAAGTCTTCCAGCTCCAGCTCCATCCCCAAACATCTTACTGCTTGATGATTTCAACCTAAGGCATATAAAATGGAAGAATGTAGCGAATAATGTTATAGCAGTAACAATCCTTGGAGGTAGCGCAGATGAAAGGTCACACACACGAGCTACTAAGTCTCTGCGATAAACACACCTTAAGCTAGCAGATAGTGGGGCCAACAAGACTAGAAAACACACTTGACCTTATCTTCACAAATAATGAGGACCTGGTAAAAGACATAACAATATCAAAAACAACTAATTCCGATTACAATTTAATCGAAGTCCAGACTTACATGCACAGGGGTCCTGATCAGCAAAATGCATGTACCTGTGAAGGTGTCTTCACAAAATACAACTTCAACAACAAGAACATCAACTGGGACCAGGTAAACCATGTCTTAAGTGAAACATGTTGGGAAGATAATCTTAAATAACATGGATCCAAACTAGTGCCTTGAAAGGATCAACTTCCTGGCAGCTGAAGCATGTTCTAGGCATATTTCCCTAAGAAAGAAGAAGAGCAGAAGTAAACTGGAGAGAGAAAGACACTCCCTCTACAAAGACAACGAAGAATCACTGAGAACCTCAGGAACGCTAGAATATCTGATACACGAAAGGGGGCGCTGACCAGGGAAGTGGAAACTATCAAGCTTAAGTTAAATGACTTACAGGAACCAGGAGAGACAGGAGGAGCTTAAAGCTATTAGTGAAATTGAAAGAAATTCAAAATATTTCTTTTCATATGCCAAAAACAAGGCAAATACTACATCTAGTATCAGGCCCTTACTCAGACTGGGTGGGACTTACACAGATGACAACAAGAAAATGAGTGAAATACTGAAATCCCAGTACGACTCTGTTTAATGAGCCACTAATCAGTCTGATGATCAACGACCCAAATGATTTCTTCATGAATGAGCCTCAAAACTCCATAAATGTATGCCAGATTTCCGACATTACCCTAACTCTGATAGACTTTGAAAAATCCATTGACAACATGCCCATGCACTCAGCCCCAGGCCCAGACTCGTGGAACTCGGTGTTCATTAAGAACTGCAAGAAACCCCTCTCATGTGCCCTAAGTACACTATGGACATGGGTGAACCTCCACAGTGACTTAAAACAATGGATATAGCCCCACTCCATAAAGGTGGCAGCAAAGCATTAGCTAAGAACTATAGACCAATATAGACCAATAGCTCTAATGTCCCACATCATAAAAATCTTTGAAAGAGTGCTAAGAAGCAGGATTGCAAACCACTTGGATTCCCAAAAACTGCACAGTCCAGGGCAACATGGGTTCAGGGCAGGTCGATCCTGCCTCTCTCAGCTACTGGATCACTATGATATGGCCTTGGATGCACTGGAAGAATATCAGAATGCAGATGTAATATACACAGACTTTTGCAAAAGTGTTTGACAAGCGTGATCATGGCGTAATAGCGCACAAAATACAGTACGTGCTAAAGGAATAACTGGTAAAGTGGGGAGATGGATCTTCAACTTCCTAACCAATTGAACACAAAGAGTAGTGGTCAACAGAGTTAAATCGGAGGCTGCCAAAGTGAAGAGCTCTGTTCCACAAGGCACAGTACTCGCCCCCATCCTGTTCCTCATCCTCATATCAGACATAGAGATGTAACCCACTAGGATCTGCAAGAGGCTGTCATCTACTGAGGACATGGTTAACCTCCAAGAAGATATAAACAAAGTTTTCCAGTGGGCAACGGAAAACAATATGATGTTCAATGAGGACAAATTCCAACTACGTACTCCGTTATGGAAAACTGGAGGGGATAAAAACTAGAACAGAGTATACTACAAACTCTGGCCATACAACAGAGAAAAAAATGAAAGGGCCCGGGAGTGGTAATGTTGAGGGCTCACCCTTCAAGGATCACAACAGTGCCAAAAACAAGTGAAAGAAAATGATAGGAGGATAAAAAGAAGTTTTAAAACAGAGATGCCAAACCAAGATGATCCTTTCAAATCATTGTTCTTCTAGGCAAAGAATGCTGTACATTAACTCTCCATTCAAAGCTGGTGAAATTTGCAGATTAAATGACGAGAACCTTTACTGCCATTTAATTCTGTCAAGACCTTAACCACTGGGGAAGCTTTGGGAAACATTGACTTGTACTCGTTGGAATCAGGATGAGAGTACATATAATCACACTTGGAAAACGTGGAAGGGTGGTCCCGAATCTGCACACAGAAATCACTCCCTGCGAAAGTAAAAGACTTGGCAGGCGATGTAAAATACCCCCAATTAAAAGTAGGGGTGCCACTGGTACATTAAGAGAAAACATCATAAGTGTCCAGGGCCCAAGACTGTTCAACAGCCTCCCACCAAGCATAAGGGGAATTACCAATAAACCCCTGGCTGCCTTCAAGAGAAAGCTGGCCAGATACCTAAAGTCAGTGCCAAATCAGCCGGGCTGTGGTTCGTACGTTGGATTGCATGCGGCCAGCAGTAACAGCCTGGTTGATCAGGCCCTGATCCACCAGGAGGCCTAGTCGTGGACCGGGCCGCGGGGGCGTTGATCCCCGGAATAACCTCCAGGTAGACTCCAGGTAGCAATTATTAAATTTAAAAGGAAAAACTTTTGTTTTTCCTTTTTGGGTCACCCTGCCTTGGTGGGATACGGCTGGTGTATTGAAAAAAAAAATTGTTCAGAAGTTCTAATGGTATACAGATGTGTTAGGCATACAACAATGGTACAATATGCACATTTAACACAGGATAACCCAATAAAGCTCAGCAGTGTGACTTATTTCCACTGGGATTCGATATGACCATGATGAATATGAAATACTATTAATTTTTAGTACAGATTGTTCCAATGCCAACATACTATCATTCAATAACAATGTATTTTTAATAAAAATTAGAGAGCACTGAATGACAAAGTTATAAATGCAGTACCATACTTATTAATCTGCAAATATCAAAACAAAATTCTGGCAATAGGTTAAAGATAAGGTATGGTAATATGCAAAAGATATTGAGGGTAAAGACATCTGCAGAAAAACAAGGGATCAGAGGAGGTCAGCTCAGATAGTTTGCATTGCAGGTGGGACAAAGAGGACAGCAGACAAAAGGCTCATAAAGACTTTAAAGAAAGGGTCTGAAATGAAGCTGATGGATTCTCTGATGAATGGGACAATCTATCAGGAGATGTTTGATCAGTATTAAGTGGCCTGTGGAGTTACATGAACAAAGGTTACCTGATACTTGAGTTGTCATCGAAGCACTGTAATGCTCAACCTGGGGAAGCAATCTTAGAACTTGCCATTTCTTCTATACAGAATTTTTTATCATCACTGCTACAGGGATAACTTGCTTGCCTCATGCCTATAAGGTTTATTACATCCTATAATAATTCCTCCAACCTGCTTCTGTTACATTCACAATACACAGTGCAAAATTCCTGTTTGTAAGTAAAAAAAAAAAGATATAGGTCTTACTAATGTTCTTTTCTTTCATTAGCCATGTAATAAATTCTTGGCCTGAGCAAACATTCTTTGTACTAGAGAAGAATGAGTTGCGGTGGTCACGCAGAATTCCAGAAGCTCGTAATTCCTCTACAGTCAATGCTGCTGGATCACTCTCACACACAAACTTCATCTCAGCATCTGAAAATTTTAAGTAAATATATATAATACTGCACAGCACTTAATATGTTTTAGACAAATTCTGGAGTGTGAGCAGGGTAATATTTAGTGAAGGGATTCAGGGAAACCGCTTATTTTTATATAGCCGGACTAGAGTTCTGAAAATGGGAAGTACAATGCCTGCACTTTAAAGGAGGGGTTTTGAGATATTGGCAGTTTGGTGGGATGTTTAATAGGATGGTATACATGCATATATAATTGGGGCCCTGATATTGTTTAAATTATTTCAGGCCACTTTTTATATTGTATCTTTATATATGCTTCTAAACTGTTGTATCTGGGTGCCTCTGCAAAAACAGTGATTATGTATGAGGTGAAAGTGTTGAATGATGATCAAAGTATTTTCGTTTTGGGGATTTTATTTCTTTTTGGGTCACCGTGCCTAGGTGGGAGACGGCCGACTCGTTGAAAAAAAATAAAAAGATACAGTGTATGTTTAATGGATAAAAAATACTGAAAATATACTGCAAAACACATGCTGTATAAATAAAATGAAGATAATGAATAAAGTAATGTAGAAGCTGTTGTACAATAGGGAAAAGTAAAGAGAGAGAGCACTGCAGGAGGGCCAACAAAAGGCATTAAAGGAAATGTGAAACTGATGGAAGGCAGCCCTCATTTCTGACACCTGTGACCTAGGGAGTAAAATCCACCGGTGCTTTGTGAGAGAGAGTTCTAAGAAAATCAACTACAGACAAGAGATACTACAGTGCTAATGAACATGAGCTAATAAAATTCTTGAGGGATCCTGACCTATCTGAGTCAGATTAAGATGCAGTTCGTACCCGCTAATTTCCATGAACAAAGTTATGTACCCTTAATTTGCAACTATTGTTATGCCTTGTTTAAAAATTTTTATTATTCAAATACTTTTACTGTTTCTTACTGTCAACCGTTATCCCTGTTAGAAATTTAGCTCACTGGCCAGACTACAATATTAATATTGTTCCCAGTGTCCACTTTTTTTTCTTCTGAAATAGTAGAGAATCTTTTTCTGAAGGTAATGACACCAAAAGTACAAAATTTAATGGAAAACTTACCAAATTATGCAGGCACAACATTAGCTTAGTGGGTACAATTTATCAACATTCTTACATATTTACACTTTCTACTTTGAGTCATGAATGCAGATATTAGTCCAGATTTTAACCTTTTATTCAGTACAGCCTCTCCTCACTTAACGACGCAGTTCAGTTCCTGAGACCAAGTCGTTAGACGAATTCGTCGCTAAGTGAGGAGCATACTATAATTGTAGTGAGTTTGTGTCAACCATCTTTGATATTATTTTAATGTCACCTTTGCACCATTTATAACATTTCTGGTATATTTTTAAATGTTTATACAGTAGTATACTGAACAGTGGAACCTCGGTTTCCGTATGCCCTGGTTTTCGTAGGATTCGGTTTTCGACAACTTTTTTCATTGACATTTTGTCCCAGTTTTTGTACATCCACTCGATTTTCATAGAGTTGACAATGATCCACCGTACCAAATGCGTCCACCTGTCCGCGCCCACACAAAGCATCCCTCGCATTCTCAGTCTGGCTTTGTTTCTTGTTGAGTGAGCATTGTGAGAATGTGCCTTCTTCAGTGATTAAGGACATGTGTGCAAAGTGGAATGAGTTGCAAGGTTTTGTGGAGAAATATCATCCTAAGCTGTTGCAAGCCATGTCTGCAACATGTTTAATGACAATGCCTTGTCCCATTTTAGGCAAATCTTAAAGAGAGACAAATAACCCGCACACAGAAGAGAGGAGCTTACGACGATGTTTTGGTCCGACTTTTACCATTTACAAAGTCACACGACACAAATAACCCTCACATAGAAAAGAGGAGCTTACAACGACGTTTCGGTCTGACTTGGACCATTTACAAAGTCACACTGTGACTTCGTAAATGGTCCAAGTCGGACCGAAACATCGTCGTAAGCTCCTCTCTTCTATGTGCAGGTTATTTGTGTATCGTTCCAGTCACGGTATTGTGCCTTTTTTTGTTACTTAAAGAAATTCCAGAAACAGACCTCTATGGACAGATTTTTTGTGCAACAGGGGTCCAGTGACTCTCAAGCTGGTCCTAGTGCCAGTAAAAGACAAAGAAGGGAAGTAACCCCAGATAGGACCTTGATACCTGAAGTCCTTATGAAGGAGGATTCCCCTTCCAAACAATAACCTCTCCTCCTCCCTTCCCCTCCTCACTGTCTTCCATAGGCCAACAAGAGTCTTCAATAAGGGTAAGTGATATTAAATCTTCATTTATCCATTTCTTTAGTCATTTATATTTTTTCTGTATGTAAAACTATAGTTATTCTCTATAAAATGTATTTTTTGGTTAATATTTTTGGGTATCTGGAATGGATTAATTAGATTACATTATTTCTTATGGGAAATGTTGCTTCGGTTTTCGTACAATTTGACTTTTGTCAGACTTTCTGAAACAAATTAATCACGAAAACCGAGGTTCCACTGTATATTGAAATGAACAGAATAGAGGAAATCCAGCACTAATTTTGGCTAGCACAATTTCAAATTTAATCATTATACTGACTCAGAAATTGTGCAGAAGGTTGTAAATCCACAGCAGCAAGCCAGTGGAGGAGAAATCAGTGATGAAAATGAGGAAGATGTAGAAAGAGTCTCTGTTGATAAGTTAATTAAGTGTATTCTACCCAAACCACTCCGTAATCCGGCAAACTCACTAATCCGGCATACTTCAAGTTTCCATGACCGGATTAGTGATGGCCGACCTGTAATAATGACTTATCACTATTTTAACATTAATTATGTATTAGATGAATTAATGTGTCTAAAACAGTAGAAGAAAATTAACACAGAACTCAACATATTCCTGCAAGAAAATTAAGTTCAAAGATAAATACAGCAGTAAAGCAAGCTTATGTTTGCAACTTGAAAAGCATTTTTTGTATATGGCTCAATCTTACCATTTCTATCAGTAGCCTCTGAGGGATGAGGAATAATAAGTGCATCTTCTTTGGCTTCATTAGTTTGGATATCAGCTATTAGCTTACCCCATTCTTCCTCATCTTTCACAATTTTCTGCAGATTATCATTACCACCCACATATGTCTCATTAAAAAATATTTGTGGTACTGAAGTTTTCCCAGTTTTTTCCTGCAAACATCATTAAAATCAGAATGCGCAATATTTTTTGACCTTGAGATAGAAAAATTTTATGGTTAATTTTATATACAGTACCAGCTTGTGGTTACGACAAATATTTACATTGTATTTAATTCACTTATACAGTACCTCTATTGTGGTATACATATATCTAAACCTAATTCCAGTTGTTCAGCATTATCTTGAACAAGGACTTGTAAGATTATTTTTATTATGCAACACATCAACACATCTGAAGTGGAGGGAAGGTGGGGTATGGGTCGGCCTAGGAAAGGTTGGAGGGAGGGGGTAAAGGAGGTTTTGTGTGTGAGGAGCTTGGACTTCCAGCAAGTGTGCGTGAGCATGTTAGATAGGAGTAAATGGAGACAAATCGTTTTTAGAACTTGATGTGCTGTTGGAGTGTAAGCACGGTAACATTTATGAAGGGGTTCAGGGAAACCAGCAAGCCGGACTTGATTCCTGGAGATGGGAAGTACAGTGCTGGCACTCTGAAGGAGGGGTGTTAATGTTGCAGTTTTACAACTGTAGTGTAAGCATGCCTCTGGCAAGACAGTGATGGAGTGAGTGATGATGAAAGTTCTTTTTCGGGCCACCCTGCCTTGGTGGGAAACGGCCGAGATGTGTTAAAAAAAAAAATCAAATTGCATTTGCTCATCCAAAATTATTTTACTGTAATCCTAATAATCTTCAAATGTAAACTTCTGTAAGATCAATACTACTTTTATATTCTATATACATATTGCATTATTATTACAATAAATACCTATTATCTTAATACTTAAGACATTGCTTGCAATATAGGCTTTTTAAAAATTAGTTATTATTAATTTTCACAATTAATTTACATTAATTTATACAGATCGTACAAAGACATTGAGTAGCTATGTTCTACTCTAATTGCAAATTGTAATTCCCCACTGCATATATATTTTTTTTAACCTGACTTTTACATCACAAATGATTGACACTGTAATAATTATTCCAAATTTTCTGTCTTTAATGAATCCTGAGTATGTATGTATGTATATATTATGTAGTATGTATGTATGTTTGTATGTGTTTTGTATATATATTATATATTTTATATATATATATAAATATATATATATATATATATATATAAAATATATATATATATATATATTATATATATATAATATATATATATATACGTATATATATAATGTATATATATTTTATTATATATATATATATTATATATATATTTTTTCTTTCAACACACCGGCCGTAATCCCACCGAGGCGGGTGGCCCAAAAGGAAAAACGAAAGTTTCTCCTTTTACATTTAGTAAAATATACAGGGAAGAGGTTACTAGCCCCTTGCTCCCGGCATTTTAGTTGCCTCTTACAACACGCATGGCTTACGGAGGAAGAATTGTTTTCCCCTTACCTCCTACACCATACACTTGCAACATCTGCCACATTGCCCCCTATCCACCCTGTCATACGCCTTTTCCAAATCCATAAATGCCACAAAGACCTCTTTTGCCTTATCTAAATACTGTTTTATTATATGTTTCCACTGTAAACACCTGGTCCACACACCCCCACCTTTCCTAAAGCCTCCTTGTTCATCTGCTATCCTATTCTCCGTCTTACTCTTAATTCTTTCAATTATAACTCTACCATACCACTTTACCCGGTACACTCAACAGACTTATCCCCCTAATTTTTTGCACTCTCTTTTAAACCCCTTTGCCTTTTACAAAGGAACTATGGGATTTCTCTCTGCCAATCCCTAGGTCCTTACCCTCTTCCATACATTTATTAAACATTGCACCAACCACTCCAAAACTATATCCCCACCTGCTTTTTAACATTTCTATCTTTTTCCCATCATCCCGGCTGCCTTACCCCCTTTCATTTACCTACTGCCTCACGAACTTCCCCCACACTCACAAACTTGGCCTCTTCCTCACTCCTACAAGATGTTATTCCTCCTTGCCCTATAACGAAATCACAGCTTCCTATCTTCTCAACATTTAAAAAATTTCCCTCAAAATTTCCTTCCATCTTCCCAAATCCCTCTAAATCTCATTTAATAACTTCCTCCAAATTTTAACTGACAAATCCAATTTGTTTCTAGGCTTTCTTACTTGTTAATCTTCACTCCAAAACTTTTTTTTTTTTTTCAACAAATTTGTGATAACATCTCACCCACTCTCTCATTGCTCCCCTTTTTACATTGCTTCACATTTCTCTTACCTTCTCTTTTTCTCCATATACTCTTCCTCCTTGCATCACTTCTACTTTGTAAAAACTTCTCATATGCTAACTTTTTCTCCCATACTACTCTCTTTACATCATCATTCCACCAATCGTTTCCTCTTCCCCCCTGCAACCCACTTTCCTGTAACCACAAACTTCTGCTGAACACTCTAACACTACATTTTTAAACCTACCCCCATACCTCTTCGACCCCATTGCCTATGCTCTCATTAGCCATCTATCCTCCAATAGCTGTTTATATCTTACCCTAACTGCCTCCTCTTTTAGTTTATAAACCTTCACCTCTCTCTTCCCTGATGCTTCTATTCCCTTGTATTCCCATCTACCTTTTTTCTCTCAGTGTAGCTACAACTAGAAAGTGATCTGATATATCTGTGGCCCCCCATAAACATGTACATCCTGAAGTCTACTCAACAGTCTTTTATCTACCAAAAACATAATCCAACAAACTACTTTCATTTCGCCCTACACATATGTGTATACTTATTTATCCCTTTTTCTTAAAATATGTATTACCTATAACTAAACCCCTTTCTATACAAAGTTCAATCAAAGGGCTCCCATTATCATTTACACCTGGCACCCCAAACTACCTACCACACCCTCTCAGTATTATATATATATCTCAGTATATTTTATATAAAATATTATATATATATAAATATATATTATATATTATATAATATATATATATATATATTTTATATATATTTTATATACATGTATATACGTATATATATATTATACAGTGGACCCCCGGTTAACGATATTTTTTCACTCCAGAAGTAGTTTCAGGTGCCAGTACTGACCGAATTTGTTCCATAAGGAATATTGTGAAGTAGATTAGTCCATTTCAGACCCCCAAACATACACGTACAAATCACTTACATAAATACACTTACATAATTGGTCGCATTCGGAGTAATCGTTATGCGGGGGTCCACTGTATATATATAAAATATATATATTATATATATATATATATATATATATATAATATATAATATATATATATATATATATATATAATGTATATACGTAATATATATATATATATATTTTATATATATAATATTTATATATATATATATATATATTATATATATAATATATATATATATACACACACCATACATACATACATACATACATACATACATACATACATATATATTTCATGTATATACGTATATATATATATATATATATATATATAATATATATATAATATATATAATATATATATATATATATATTTTATATATATAATATATATATATATACGTATATACAATGTATATATATATATATATTAAAAATAAAATTTTATAAAATTTTAATATATAATATATATATATATATATTTTATAAATAATAAAATATAAATATATATTATATTATATAAGTGGGCCCCCGCATAAAACCCCCA